AAGAGATACCTGTTATGTAGTCTATACCGCACCCCACCCCGTCATGGCAATGGCTTTCGATCGATGACACATGGAAGAACCTGAACAGGCTCACAAGCACAGACCCCTTCCATATATATACTTTCATGCAACCGAAACACGAGCTTCAGCACGACCGCGTAGGCTGCAACCATGGTGTGGTTCCAGTTGTGCGGGTACTCCTTCTTGTAGCTCACTGTGCACATCTGCGGTCGGCATGGATCCAAGACGAGCTTCAATCCCACCGCGCTCCGCGTCCAGTAGGCCGTCAGCTGCGTCTTCTTGAACTCAGGGCGGTGAGCCAAAAGGTGGCTCTTGATCTCCTCGAAAGTAGAGGTGGTGATGTTACTCATGAGGAAAATGATCCGCTTCTTCGTGGCCTTGTCCACCCAGTCTTCGTTCAGCGAACCATCCGGGTTCTGCCACAGCAGCATCTTTTTCACCACTGGCTTTCCAGCCTTTGTTTTCTTGCCACCGGGACTGCGACCTGCCAAGGCCTTGGCCTTCGGGGAAAGCTTCCCCAACAAAGATCTGCTCGGGCATCGGGCGGGACCCTTTCGCACCACAAATGGCGTGCAACCAGGCACCGGATCGGGAATGGACCTGACTGGCCACTCGTCGGCCAAGCCATCCTCACCACCATCCCATCCCAACTGTGGCTCCATCACAAGATCCTCCCTCGGCTTATTGGCACCCTTCTTGGCAGCAGGCTGGCGCTTGCGCTTGATCCCTTTGCCTGCTGGGGCAGGCTCCTCTGCCGGCGCCATGGGGTCATCCTCCGGAAAGAGCCTGCGGCGCAACGACTCCGGCGCGGCAGGAGCCGCATCCTCAGGACCACCACCGCGGCCAGCACGACCGCGGCCACCTCGGCCACCTCGGCCTCGGCCACCTCGGCCCCGGCCACCCCGGCCTCGGCTCCCTCGGGCCGTGGCGTCATCATCATCGCCGTCCTGGTCATCACCCTTCTCTGCAGCCTTTGCCTGTCTGGCCTTCTTCTGCTCGTTCTTCATGTTTAACTGATGTGTGCGCAAGAGAACCTCAGCACATACAAATTGTATAACACTTGTACCCGAATGGGAAACTCATGCAGAGCAACATATGCATAGATAAATTATATAGATACCTTGATCGAAATGGAGCTGGTACACCAAACTGGCATATTAGTTGAACCCAGTGACATCCCGAGCTGGCTCAGGAACATCAGCAATCGGCTCAGCAATCGGCTCAGCAATCGGCTCAGCAATCGGCTCAGCAATCGGCTCGGGCAGCAGCTCCTAATGATGCTACTTGGAATGGTATCGGCAGCATTACCGTATACAATCCACTCAAGCACAGGTCTTATACAAGATGAGCCAGGCATCTGCACCCATGTCAACAACCTGTGTCTCCACTGTGTCAGGGTTGACGGCCGTAGATCCTGCCAAGAGCCCACAAACCAAGAATCCGGAGCTACATGCTCAATCTCACACGAATATCAGTCATTGGCCTCCCTGCCTAATATGTGCATATATATATATATATATATACATACATACACACACCCACATATACATATACACATCTACATATACATCTACATCTACATCTACAAATACATATGCATATACATATATACATATGCATATACATGTACATACATATAGAAACATATACATACATATGCACATGTATACATATATATATATATGTATACATATATATATATATACACTTATGAGTACATATGTACATATTTGCATGTACATATATAGATCTAGATCTATATATGTTCATGTACATGTACATGTATAGATGTAGCTTTGTATGCATATACAGACATGAAACAAATATCTAGATGTGTGTCTATGCGTACACATGTATAAATGTATATATATATATATATATACACACACACAGATACATAGACATATATATATATATATATATACATAAATAAGCACAGACACGGGAATCTACAAGTGCCCATGTAAATCCATGTAGATACGAGTTTGTAGGCATCAACTACATGGGTATGCATATACAAACATGTATATGTGTATACACATTGTGTATGTTCCTTCTCTTGAGTTGTATATACATATTTATATATATCTGTATATATATGTATCTATCTATATATATATATACACATACATATATGGGTGCTATACGAACTCTTCTCCGAATACATGTACATATATATATATATATACATACACATTTATTGCATGCAACATCGGGTCATGGTCCTGAAGCAGGAGGCCGAACCACTGCGACCGATCCAGAGGCTGCTTCAGCAGGTTGTTGTTGGAGCCTTATCTCACTGGGTTTTCAGTATAAGTCAACGACACACGGAAAGCATGCAGAGAGCCATGGAGAGAGGTTTCGTGAAAACCTAAGAGAGGGCCAGAAGGAGAAAGAGAGCGACTAAGAAAGAGAGCGCGAGAGAGACCCAGACAGGCTCAGGATGAAAAATGAGGGGGATACAGAGTGAGAATGCTACCAATGAGAATGAATAGGCACTTATATAATTATGTACAACGATGGAAAGCAGATAAGGATATGGGAGAGGCAGGGGTCCTGATGAGGAGTGTATGCGCAAGGAGCTATCTCCAAACTGATTGTACAACCTATAACTCTGCATGACGAACTATAGGCGGTGAGTATCTTTTATACATCCACTTAGTGTCGTTGTATATTTCAGTTTGGCATTGCTTCTATATTTCTCGAAGCATCCAAGCGTGCACCCATATTAGAATGATGCATGTATCAGGTCAAGCATGTATGTATGCCTGCATGCATTCATGCCGGCATTCTTGTATGTTGGTCTGTATACGTATGTAACTCACCTGCATGAGAACATGTGTCTGTGCGTACACATATATGTGCTTGTTGCACTGTTCTAAACGTGCATGTCTAGCTGGCACAGATGTAGGTACAATGAGGGTTGGAGAGCAACGGTTGAATGTGTAGGCATGCATTTATCGATATACACACATGCACTATGAAACCACGTTGCAGAGAACCTTGCAACCAAAGAAACTTGGCAATCTGCTGTCTCTTCGCCGCAATGAGTGCTCGCATCTGCTCCTTCATGTTGGCGATCTGCTTGCACTTGCCTGCAGTAGCACAGTCAGTTTGACATACGATACCCGATGAAACCACTTACACAGACTGTATACATGCATGTAAACTGCTGGAAGTTAAAGTCTTTCACATGCCATCAAGTTGCACTGATCAGGAGACTTGTAACACTTCTCACAATTGCCCGAAGCATGCCAAGTCGACTCGCGAACCTTTGCAACCTGGGATGGCTGTGTCTCGCAGGCGGCAGTGGCCAGCACCTTTGACCGGTTAAGCCTTGGCTCTGTCGCCTTCGCTTGGGATGGGAGGCTTTCATTCCCTGCTGCCTCACACTGCTTTGTGTTGGATCTGGCCCCTGATCCAGATGATCCAGATGAGGCTTCCGGTGGGGATGGCACATGAACAGCTACGGCTGCTGGTGGGGATGGCTCATGGGAAACATGTGGTGCGGATGGCACATTGACAGCTACGGCTGCTCGCGGGGATGGCTCACGGGATACGGCTTCTGGCGGGGATGGCACTGCAGCTACGGCTTGCGCAGGGGATGGCACAACAGCTATAAGGCTTCTGGGTTGGATGATGCAGCAGGTGCGATTGCTGGTCTGGGTTATTAAGTTTCATCCGGGTCGCGGCTGTGTGTGGGTCTGTGTGGAAAACAAGGAAACACGGGGCCTGCAATGGATTTGCCTTGGTTGATGCTTCGGCGATGCTCCGTGAAGCCAAAAGCGACAACCAGGGAGGGTAGTCAGCTGCGAAGCGGCTGGAAATCGCACAGGCTGCGGCTTCCTCGGTTAGGATGGTGTCCTTCGTGCTAAATTTGGGAAGCGCCGAAAGGTGTAGGACTTGGGCTGGGGTGAAGCGCCGAAAGGTGTAGGATTGCAGGACTTGGGCTGGGGATGGGCGCCGAAAGGCGTAGCTAAATTTGGGGTGAAGCGCCGAAAGGTGTAGGACTTGGGCTGGGGCTGGGCGCCGAACGGCGTAGGCGTGGAGTATAGGCGCCGAAAGGTGAATGATAGGAGATATCGGCATCGGAGCCTCCGCTGCTGCTGTTTCCGCTTTTGCTCATGATGTCGCGTACTGCCGTGCTGCTAATGCTGCCGCTGCTGCTCATGATGTGCTATTGCTATTTTTGGTTCAAGCGGATTCAAGCGGCTTGTGACAGCCACGAGAAAAAAGAGAAAGATTTAAAGAAGATGGATTGCAGATCTAGAGGAAAATATTAAATTACAGCCTACGGCAAGGGAGCTGCTGCCTTACTGCTGTGCTGATGCTGATGCTCATGCTGATGCTCATTGTGCCGGTCACAATTCGAAACGCCCAAGAAGAAGAAAGCAGAAAGAGAGAGTAGGCAGATGGACAGCAGAAGATAAATCAGATAAAGACATGAAACAAGTTCAGGCCCGTTTCTTCGACTGTCGGCTTTGCAGAACGAAAGCTCAGATCTGATTTGCAGTGGTCAGGGCCTTTTGCAGACTGTGCCCAAATTTGCGGTGGCTGCAGCTGTTGCCTCTACAGCTCGGGAAAGCAGACTCATCGATTTGCAGGATGTGATATGTTCTCTCCGCCGACAGGCGGCCTAACTCTTGCGTAACTTTATTCACAGTGCTGGAGCTCAGGAATTCCAGCAGGAGACATGTCCTGCAGCTCTCATTGACTCCGATTCTTTCTCCGTCTTTCGCAACCTTAACCCATGAACCCTAAACCCACCGTAGGCGGCTCAAACGCAGGCTCAAGCTTAAGTGGCTCGTTTGCGAAGCTTCTGAAGATGATTGGAAGAATTTGCAAGTAGAGACGAGACTGTGGCCGAGCAGAGTCTATGTCAATGATATCGTGTATAGGTTCGAAGTCCGAGGCAAATGTAGGACTCTACTGTAGGACGTATGAGTAAGCAGTAGATTTGTCAGGGACTGTGGCCGAGCATGACGACGGTTGTGTATCTTTGCGCTGTGGAAAATCATCAGACCCGTGTGTGGTCAGAGTCGGGACAGCGGCTGCGATGCCAGTTTCCTAAGAAACCATGGTTTCTGGAGCTTGTTCAAGAGCACGATTTGGCAGAGTGGCTGTCGGTGCGCAACCGCAATGATTCGGTAAAGTTTGCTTTGCACGGCATCATGAGCATATGTCCCGGCATTTCGGCAGACGACTTGCTGTCGGAGTATCCGAAAAGATCCGAACTAGGGGTGTGGAGATCCTTCTGGACAGCCCAAGGCAGCTTGTACACGGTCTTGGTGAAGGAGTGCTTGGTTTTCCAAGAACCCCAAGAGGTACACACATACCTTGATGTGCGTCATGCAGAGCCTAGGCCCCTGCGAGGTCGGCCGAATGCATTGTCCCCTTTCCTTCCATCCAATTGCAAGCCAGAGCGCATGCTCAATGTGCCGGGGGTGTTGTGGCAGTGCGATTCATCAAGTCGCATAGGAAACATGACTGTGCAGGATGCATTGCAGCGCTGGGGGTTGGAGCTAACAGAAGCATCTGTAGCCGTGCCAGTTGTGCAACCAGTCGCAGGGTTGATCGTAAGAGGTGCTTGGAGTTCCGTTGGTTTGTTAGGGCATTGGACGCTTCCACAAGAACTTTTCGAAACTGCGGATTTCCCTCCAGATGAGCTCAAGGAAAAACTTTTTCGACAGGAGCCGCACTGGTCAACCACCTTGTCGCACCAGCAAGTGTCGTTGCTGGCAGATCGTGTCAGATCTTGGGCCCCTGTGCTGTTGACAAACTCGAATGAGGAGGCAGCTGGCCTCATGCAGCTAGAGCTTGCAGACATGATTCAATGGTTTGAAACCCTGCAGCGAAATCTTGAGCATCAGCCTCGCCCATCCCACTACCCCAGTCACGTGATGATTGCTGCTGTGTTTTTGGCTTTCCTTTTGGGGTCACGAACACACATGGCTGAGGCCATTCCACTTGCATTGATGCTTGCTTTGCCTGGACTTGATTTCGACGATTTGGCCAAGCATGTCAAGTGCCCCAAAACCACCACATTAGCACGTGCATCCACATACATGGACTTTGCATACCTCATGTTGTGCAGGGAACGTTGGAAGCAAACTCCACACCTGCTTTTCGCCTGGGCTGATTCCTCCCCGCAAAGTGGGAGAGAGTGGTTCATGAGTATGGAGGCCTGCATTCCCGAATCCTCCCTTATTGAGACCTTCCAGGTTGTGAATAAGCTAATCAGGGCGAGACCCGACTTGCAGGACCATTTTGAATCCCGAGAGTTGGATCTCGATGAGCTTCTGCACTGCAGCCGCACATTGCAGGCAAATCTCTTGCATCACAAGAACATACCTGTAGCAATGGCCAGTGGTAAGACCAGATTGGAAGACAAAGTTTCTTGCTTGCTTCACGTGTTGGCCCTTGAAAGCGACAGCCGTGCCTTCTTGACTCAGCAGCTGAGTCGTGTCGTGAGTTGGACCACTGACTTAGGCCTAGAGGTCCAAGTTCCGCAATTTCAAGCAAAGGATCCCGAAACTCTTGTACCAACTTGGCTGCACGCAAGCCTTCCGGTAGAGACCGATGTGCAGGACATCCCATCTGATTCAGAGGTTTCGTTGCATGATGGCGATGGGCAGAATCTTGCTGCTGCAGAGCAGCCGAGGCTCGACACATCGTTGATGCCAAGTTGCCTAATTGTGCCGGGTCTGTTGCATGTGTGTCATAACTTGGCTGCGGATCTCCATGAGAAGATGCAGCTTTGGGAGCCGTTCTGGGAACAGTTGAAGGATGTGGCTGAACTGTTAGCGGAACGCCACCTTAGGGAGCGCCTCATCAATCAATGTGTCCGTGGATCAGCAGCAGCCCACCTGGAGCCAGACTTCCAACAAGCAGGCATGTCGAAACTCTATGAGAAACGCTGGCAGAATGTAATCAGCTGCTTGGATTGTCTGATGCCGCTTCTCGAGCCGTTGCGACAGGTGTGGAACTATGATACATATGTGTCCGACTCAGGCATTGACAGATCTGTTCTGCAAGGGGTGGACAAGGCTTTGGGAAGTCCCATGTTCTTCCACTATCTTCACATGGTGTGGGCCGTCCACAAGCTTGTGTTCAATTTCGAGTGTTGGGTCGAAGGGTGTCCTTGCCATCATGAAGTCAGGGAATTCAGCAAAAAGCGGAAATTCCGTCTGCACAGGCGCAAACCAGGTTCGGATGTCTCCGTTAAGCATTGTCCTATGAAGGGCAAACGAAGTTGTGAGTTGGCCGTAGGTTGTATCAACTCCACATTCGAAGAACTCACCGAGTTGGCACATTCGAGTTTCATGGGTATCGATGTTTCAGGGTTGCCTGCTCTGACAGAAGATCACAGAAATGCGATCTTGCGTGACTTCGAGTATGCCAGAGCATACCTCCAGTTCGGCTTGAAGTCGAAACTTGCGTTCTGGGAGACTGTGCCGTGGCGTCTTTGCGGTTTGGGTCATCATTTTGACTCGGTCGCTCGAAACTGTGCCGCCGAATGCTTGGCAGAATTCGATAAGTCATTGGAGGCAGGTCGGGTTAAAGCAGAGCATCACCACCCACTTAGTGTGAAATTCCTGTCCCCCGGTGGGCCGCTGCGGCACTCTGTCGAAGCCTTCTCTCAGGGGAGCCCAATGTCCCCTGATTTGTTGCAGGCTGTGGCCCCCCTAAAATTTGTGCCCTGTGTAGAGCGCGTGGTGGAAGGATTGCACCGCGACGTCAAGATAGCATCAAAACATGTTCAGCTTGGCCCCACGAAAGTGTCTATGACCGTCAGGCTTCCCGAAATCAAAAGGCATGTTCAGGAATCTCCTGAATTCCTTAGCAGACTGACAGCTGCTTTTGATCAGATGCGCAACTTGAAGAAGGCAGCTGCAATGCTTGGAGTGTTGCAGCACCCCGAGCTGCTACAGCTTCTTCATGACAAGGTCGTTTCCACAACAGACTGGTGGATTCGACTTCAAAAGATCGCGCACCGCTGTGATTTATCTGAGCAATTCGCCGATTATCGCGAGGCTAGGGTAGAGCACGACAAAATCACAAAGAAAATCCGGGAAGAAACTGCCCGTGTCCATGATGCACAGGCCTTGCCCACACCCCGGACGTATGATGCCATCTTTAAGCGTGCAATTGTTGATCATTTTCGAAAGATGTCTGATTCCAGCTGTTCCTTCTCGCTGCCTTCCGTGCAGCAGCTTCAGGCTGATGCCAATGGCGGTTGCTACGAGATTCTTCCTTTGCAGACGGTGCATGTCCGGGCCCAAGCACAGCTTGAAGCTCTCGGCAACAGTGCAGATGTGGACGTGCTTGAACCCAACATGAATGCCACCGCTCCTGATCATATGGTCTTTCGTGTGTTGCACGGTGCCCCTGAAAACCTGAAGCTTGCCCCAGGCAGTGTTGCTCTCAAACCAATCTTTCCCAAAGGGTCTTCCGTCGTTACTGTGCATGACATCATTCACGATGATGAGTCAAGCCCTGCAGTAAACATGAGCGCTTTGGCAGCTCCCCAGCTGTTGAAAGATTTGGAGCACTGTCCACTTTCCACGCTGCGTGAGCATCTCCGTGTCTGGAAGGTGTCAGGAAAGGTTCAGTACACGTTGCCGTGCGTTGGGTTTCCAGGGCATGAGGTGCTGTCTTGTGTGACTGCCATTTTGGATGCTAAAGCATTGCCTGATGAGCCGTATGTCCAGCCACCATTGTCTTCAGCACAGATGTGTCGAGCACTTGCACAGAATGGGCTTCTCCAGATCTTGAATCCTGCCCCGGGTCGGGATTCTGCACTTGTGCGCTTTACACAGGAAGGTGTTCGCAGTTTGCGAGTTGTCACAGCTTTGGGCAATCCCGCACCAGTTTGCAGCATGAGCAGCCAACCTTCCAAGAATTGGGATGTGATGGAGCTGATGTTGGCTATGGAGAATGATGGTTGGGTATGGCAGCCCCTCCCGAAGAGTAAGTCAGCAAAACAAGCGTTGTGCTACAAGCCAGGCGATGCCAAGGTCTGGTATTCCTTGTCACACTTTGTCAATAAGACTTACTTGCAGTGTCTGCTGAAAGCAGAGAACATCTTTGCCGCTGGTGCTGTCGACAGAATACCGCACTGGACAACAAGTCCCTCTGCAGTTTACACAGCCATTCTTGCAGGAAAGCCAATCCCCATGCCAAGCACCGAACAGCAAGGGTTGTTGGATGACGACGATGTTGACATTGGTGACCATGCTGTGCAGGATGATGTGCATCAGGGTCTTGAGCCCGCTCTTGCTGGTTTGGAGGTTCTTGAAGGTGCGGGCAGTGCCGAGGGTCGGGATGAAGAGCACGATGAATTGGTGCATGAGCTGGAGCGGTTGATTGATCAAGCCGATAGCGAAGATGAAGTTGTGGGGCAGGATGCCAGGTCAGAGGACGACGGAGGCGGTATTGGCTCTGTGCCGTTGGATGAAGCTGAGACTTCAGAAGCAATGCTTCCACCCCCACCTCCCCCCGCCGCCCCACCTCCCGGGTTGCCACGCAACAGGCCGGCTGAGGAAGACAATGTCTCCGTGGATTCGGAGCTCGAAAAACCCCCGGCCTGGGGGGTCTTCCGCATCAACCTGAAGCAACCTGCTGCCGCAAGGGTTCACGGCGGGTATGAAGCTCGTTGCCCATTTCATCGCAAGTCAGCCAAGACTGATTGCAAGAAGTTCGTGTCGATTCGCGGCAGCGCTGCAGCCGACAAAGACAATGCTCTTCGTGCCTTGAAAGCTTGGTGCAACTGTGCGGAATCATACAACCGCCAGAGGGATCACATCCAGCATTTTGTTTCTCCCGAAACAGCGCCGTCCCAGGCAGTCTTGGATGCAGGGCTCATAACGCAAGCTCCCCCCGGCCGTCCTCGCACGGATGAGGAGCTAGATCGGGAGCGTGACGCAGCAGCCGCTGCTCTGCCTGCTCATGATGCTCATGCTGATGGTGGGGCTGTTGGTGTTGGGGGTGCTGCCGGTGCTGCCGTGTCATCTGCAAAAGCCAAAGCCAGGGGTCGCGGGTCCGGTGAAGCAAAGCTACGCCTTCATCCAGAGGCAGAAGCGGAGCAGGATCCGCGCGGGGCCGCGGGAGATCGAGTGCCAGAGTCGCCAGGCCAGGCCCCGTGTTCTAGTAGGTTCTGTTTGGATGGAAGAGCAGGTCGTGCCCAAGTTGATCTTGATTTAAGGTTTTGGGTTGCTTGTGTCTGTTGGATTGTCGTTGTCACGCACGAAAAACTGGAGCAACCCTGGCAGTGCCCTTTGAAGTTGTGCACAGCCAAAATCACTTTTTTTTGCAGCGTCCAGCCGCAACACGTTGTGCAGGCCGCCGTCCGACGAAGCTGCGTCGGATCCGCCGAGTTCTTCTTCCTCTTCGAGTTCCAGCTCGAGCAGCTCTTCATGAGGCATTGGGTCACGTAGCGCCGGTCGGGCTCACTGATTAGATTCAGTATTCTGGTCTGTGCCACTGCTGAAGACGTAAGACTACAAAGACCTTAAAACCCGAGCCCTGAACCCTAACCAAAAAACCCTAAACCCGAAACCCTAAAAAACAAAGCCTGAAACGCTAAACCCTTGAACAAGCTCCTTCCCAACACAAGCTCCGCAGGTCATTCAGCTGAGATTGATGGTCAGGCAGGACCGTGCTCTTCCCCAGCTTTGAACAATCGCGATAATCCTTGACGGCAGGTCTGTTTTCGGATGCAGAGGTGCCCTCGAAACATCATTGAGATGTGTCCACATCATGCTTGAGCTTGGGCCATCAAACTTGAAGGGCCAATCCTGACGCTCTCAGGTCAGATGAGATATGCTTTTATTCGATTGATGCGGGTGGCTGGTGCAACAGCTACCCAGGCCACACGGGAGGGAGCATGAAAGCAAGCTCGTGAAAACTGTGTTGCTTCTTCACTGTTCCTGCCGTCCACACACAGCACTCTCCTCATGCTGTCATTTGCACTCGGGCAGGTGGCTCTGAGCCATGGATGACTGGAGCAGGCAGGTGCCTCAAGAACAGTCGTGATACTAAAGTGCAAGTGAGAAGACTTCTGAAGGTCATCTCGAGCAGACCCTGCAGTTTGCCCTCTTGCTTGGAGGACTTCGGAAGTGTGGTGTATGTGCTTACTTCCCATCTACTGCTGCTCGTCGCAGGACCAATGGTTATGGGATCCGGCACCGTGCATTCAGAATGCGCTGCGAAACCAGTTGTGTGTGCTGTGACAGTGCCGTGTTCTCTTGCATGATTGCATGTGCAGTCGGTACATGTTGTTTGGTTTTACATGTCCGTGCGTGGCTTCGAAGCTATGAGCTACTATTGGGGGCTTCGTGCCCAAATCCGTTTACATTCCCCCACCCCCGCCTCTGTTGGGGATCAGGCTGAATGATTTCTTGCATTGATGCAGGATAAGCGCTTATTACACCCATGCAACATGCCAGCTGATGGCCCAGTTACAAATCATTCTAGCATTATGCAACACTGCTTCAACCCCCTCCTCAGGCTCTGGATTTCGGGGGGTTGGAAATCAGGATTTCATGCTTGGATTTGGTGGGGTTCCCGCCCCCTCCTGAGGCTCTGGATTTCGGGGGGTTGGAAATCACGGATTGCGTGCTCAGTGTAGGCGTTGGCTGCGGTCTGGGGCAGGGGGGGTTGGGATCTCCGGTTTGGGGTGATTTGGGTGCCACGTGAGGGGCCGGCAGGCTGTGAGAATGCAACCAAAAAAACGCTGGGTCGCGCTGGCAAGGGCTTTCGGCAAAATAATCCAAATTTCCAGCAAAACTGATCCAAAACGCTGGGTCTACTTTTGAATTATTGCTAGGGCCAAAACCCTTGCAGACGGGGGGTCGAGCCACGGGTCGAGCAAGGTCGAGCCGGGTCGAGCCGGGCCGGGCAGGGTCGAGCCAGGGGTCGAGCAGGGTCGAGCCGGGTCGAGCCGGGTCGAGCCGTGGGTCGAGCAAGGTCGAGCCAGGTCGAGCCAGGGGTCGAGCCAGGGGTCGAGCAAGGTCGAGCGGGGTCGAGCCAGTGTAAGGTTTTGGGGTGGTCGTGGTTTTGGGCGGTTTTGGGGGTTTGGATGAGTTTGGGTCCTGAACTCCCGAATTTCTTGGTTTTGGAAGGTTTTGGAGTTCTTGGGGGGGGGTTCGGTGGAGTTCCTGGTGCAGATAAAGCCATCAATACCCAACCCAACGGCCGGGGCAGTGGAGCAAGGGATTCGATCCTATTCTCCTACTACTAGGAGGTTATGCTCTTCGTCTATCGTGACCGACAGTCTGTGCGCCTTGATTCACAACATGGAGGAGGCTTGCAAAGCCCTCGGTAACAACTAGCTGGATGCGAGTTGATTCCATGGCTGCACGATAACACCCCGTCCTTTGCTGAGACGCTGGAGTCAGTTCTGTTGATTCAATTGAACGGCTGTCTTGGCTCACTTGCTGTTCCACATGCAAACATAGCTTCACCTCGAGTCTAGGTCTGAGCGCTTCGTGTAGCTGTGTCGTTGCCCAGACGAAGAGTCGAGATAATGCAGGTGTTGCACCGAAGCATACAGTACAATGCAGTCGTGATGTTGTGCCAAGGTGAGTCTTGTTTGAGAAGTATTCAGAACACTTCATGCGCCGTTTGAGTGAGAGTAGACCATAGAAGCACACGCCGGGCGCATTGGGTGTGTCTGAACATGTCTGATGAAGAGGTGTCCTTTTCAGGGCCTGAGGAGTCCGAGGCTGAAGAATCCAGAGAGCCGATTGAGACCCCCAAGAAGGATAGAGGTAGCAAGCGACGGGCGGAGCCTAGCAGTGACAAGAAGTCAAAGGCCTCCACAACTCCCAAAGATAAGCGTGGGCGAAGCAAGACAAGATCGGGAAAGCCGGCAAAGAGAGACTCCCGTGGCACAGGGCGTCATGAGAAGCGACAGACAAAAGAGAAGGGAAAGAAGCACTGCAAGTCCTGTGGTAAGTCGTTACCCTTGTCAAGCTTTGCCATAAACCAGAGCAACTGCCTGGACTGCAAGAAATGCTTGGACGTCTTGTCCAAGAAGTGCCGTGCGTGCGGAAAAAGCGCCTGGTTGGCAGAGGTGAAACAGTGTCCCAAGCGCCTCAAAGCCTTGATCAACGCTTACCGGGCGGCTGTCGTGGAAGCAAAATCAAAAGGACAGAAGACCGCGACCTTCAGCATCATTACATACATCGAAACAACCAAAGCCTCGTCAGCAGTTGAATCCGTCGCAAGAGGCACCATGATGTGGCAGGACCAGGCGGTGGAACACTTTCAAACCCCAGCAGGAGGATCTTTGTCGAAAGCCGCAGCAGAGGCGAAGTGGAAATCCATGTCTGATTCAGCTGAAGCTGATGGAACGATCACGGATACATTGGGACCCAAGCAGGCTCCACTCAGGCTCAGGATCCACATTGGCGACGATGTTAACTTCGTCAACAAGTACAGCCGCTCTAAGCCCCTCAGCTTCACAACGAGGATGCTTAGGTTGTATGGTTTTGAGTCGTGATCCCGCCTGACATGTTCAGACTTCGGAAGATACAGTGACGATGATTTGTGACGTCGACGACTACGACGACGGCGTTTCCGATCGTGGGACGATGCCTGGTGAATATGATGCCAAGTCTCTATGCCACTGAGATATTGAGTTCAGTCTTTGGATATGACCACAAGCAAGGGCCAAGCGCCAGTTAACATCAGCCTTGTGTGCAGCGGCGATGACTTTGTTGGCGACGACGAGGACGACGGCGATGCTTTCGACGACTCGACGACTGCGACCATGCGACGAGATTGTTGGTGTTTGATGGAATGATCCTCTGTTCTATCGTTTTATTGTAGTTGTTACTTGACGGTGCACTGTTCTGGAGACGAGAGTCGTTGTGGTTGTGAGTGTTCTGTTACGAGGGTTAAGCCAAATTTGTAAGATGAGAGTCGTCACAACAATAAAGACACAGAGCCAGAGGTGGTGATCCGCTTTTGTCGCCTTGTGCTGCCCTCATCAAGAAAACCCTCAACTTGAGTAGTATGTGACCAGCGAAATTGGGAATGTGTCATCACTGTCCTTCTTCAGGCGTGTGGAGGCTGTGAGGGCCACAAAGAAGAAGGGCACAGAGGAGGATGTGAGAAAACTTGGCAAGAATCTCATGCTCAGCCATGAGAGTGTTGCCGGTGCCCGTGCCTTGTCAGATGTGGCGAACGACCTTGCTGGTGGTCTTGGAATGGAAGGTCACGCAGCGGCTCTGGGAGATGTCGAAGCCCTTTGCCCGGCTTCAGAGCCGGAGGCATCTGATGACTCGGGGAGTGGCGACGACTCGGAAATGTCTGCGGGCGAGGACAAGCCGGCAGGTCGAAAATCGTGGTTCGACCGTGATCGCGAGGTCAACAAGGCAGCCAAGATTGCTAAGGGTATCCTGGAGAGACTGTGCGAGCTATCCAAAGGCGAGCTGCAGAAGATGGTTGCCGCTAAGCGCGAGTATGATTCTCTCCGTGCAAAGGATAAAAAGCAATTGGAAGGAGATCATGCTATCATGCTCGGCAGGCAGAAATGCCTGGAAGCAGTGCTTGATGGTCCTAGTGCACTTGCCAACTACATCAGCAGCTTCGATGCAGCGGCTGATGACAAAGGTTCCGTGAAATCTGAGTCCGTCAAGGCTTTGGGCTCGGCTTCCCCATCGCGAACCTTCCGCGACCTGCGGGCTTTCTCAGACTGGGAGATTCAACTTGACAAGATCAATGAGTGTGAATCCGTGGAGGCCATTGAAGAGCAGAAGGCGATCCTGCAGAAGGACTTCAAGAACCCAATCGCTGACTTGGTCAGCGCCGCCAAATCCGCTTTGTCTGACCTTCAGCGAGGCCTGAAAGTCGTCAAGAAAGCTGCTGCGGGTGCAGCTGCCAAGGCAGCATCGGGAACAAGCAAAAAAAAGGCCACTGCATCAGTGCACGGCCCAGCCAAGCTATTCCAGGCTGCCGACCACATGGCTTCTGTGTCAGTGATAGCAGAGGGCGAGGAGTTGAGTGATTTCGACAGCCCCGCAATCATCCGCTCAACTCCTGAGAAGTTAAGCGAGTTCGAAGCGAGCCATCCAATCAAGAAGGCCATCATGCAGGAGTTTGCGCAGTTGTTCAGTGCACAAGCAAGTGCACAGCGGGTGGACCGAGCACACAAAAGGTTTGCTGCAAACACAGACGTCTACCACGCCATGGCATCGAGGATGGGTTCCTTGCTTCGTCAAGCCGGGCCGTGCTCTTCCCCAGAAATCCCCCAAGATGTCAAGGCCGCGATGGACGTGCAAGCGGTCATCGTTGCAAAGAATGTCATCAAGATTGCCACGGAGAAGCATCAGTCAGGTTGGGCACTTACTTTAAAGTGTTGCTGCATGACGGCATACGGGAGCGATGACTCGTTCACTGACAGGTGCCCTGCGCCTGACTGTATCCGGGAGCCGCGAAGTCGTAATGATGCGACAGAAGTGCTTGCAAGAGCACATGGGTGCATCGTCGCTCAAGTCGGCCAGAGATTTGTTCACGGAAATGAATGATGAGCAGCTTGCTGATGTTCGCAACAAGGGAATTCAGGTGTACTATGCCAACGTGAACAAGGACCGGTGATCGTGAAATAAGTGCTTTCGGATGTGAGTTTAGGGCAACCCTATGCATTCATAAGCACAAGCCGAGCCTTGAAATCATGCAGGGAGCAAAGCCAGGGGCTGTGAAACGGGCGGTTTATCCTTGCAGCTTTGTCTGTATGAAACTTTCGATGCCTTGTTTCAGTTTTCTTGCCTGGCCTAGCAAAGCCTTCAAATCATGCGTGTTCCTACATAAGAATGAGCAAAACCGAGGATTGTGAAGCGGGTGGTTTAAGTTTAGATAGGGATCTGAATCTTGGAATCTTAGTTGGCTGCATCTTCATCCTTTGATCCACTATTGGAAGGAACGCCGCTTTCGTATTATGCGTATAGAGCGGAAACGCTAGAACTAGGTTTTTTGATAGATGTTGGGTGGTGGGTTCTTGCCGGGTCGTTTCTGTTATGTGTGAGTTTTCAGAATATATTTTGTTGCCTTCGCAAGGGAGATGCTCTCTATGTTCCGGCCGGCTGGATTTTCGCTGAGCGCATCCTCGGCTCGGCTCCTTGGGTCGGAGTTCGTGCTGGTGTGCTCTGTGACACTCTGGGTGCGAAGCAGGACTTGGAGTGGCTTGCCAAGACCTGGTGTCGAGATGACGAGCTTATGAAGGTGATGCTGAATTGCTTGACCAACAAGTTGGTCGGAGCTGGGACGGACAGGCAGCCCCTCGAAAACCCAGCGCCGCAAGAGCCACAAGGAGCATTGCCAAAGCAGCCCAGCAAGCAGGAAGCCCCACAGGATCAGAAAGGTCAGCTCGAAAAGCCAAGCAACGAAGTAGACGAAAAGTCTTTCAAAGAGAATCTGGACAGGATGGAGGCAGAGCACCAACGAAAGGAGCATGAGAAACAACAGGAGCACGAGGAAAGGGAAAGGCAGATGAAGGAGAAAGAGCAACAAGCTTTGCAACAACAAATGAAAGATCAGAAGATGAAGGAGAAGGAGCAACTGCAGCTTGAACAGCAGCCACCCGAGCATGAGCAAGCCCAGCAAAAGCCGGCAGCAGCCAAGGAGCCCGAAGCTTCGCCAGTACCAGTTCCAGGTAGTCACAATCACAAAGGCACCCAGCCGGCACAGGGTGATGAGCACACACACACCAAGCGATCCGCAGAGGCAGCATCAGCATCGGACACCCCGAACCCGAAGACACAACGTGTGGAGGACTTAACCCACCTGTGACATGTTCAGTGATGCATTCGGCTGCCCGGTTGTGCAATGTACTGCACTGTGTGGTCGTCCTGATGTTCAGTCTGACTTCGAGATGGGAGCGAGTTTTCGCAGTGCACAGCATTGCTTTTTCCTTGGGTATCCCTCCATGTGGCACTAGGCTTGTCCAGTCTCCAATTATCACATCATCAGTCGTGTAGTTCACTATCGCTCCTATGTTCATCTTCCCGCCTCCCGTGCTTTCCTGGCCACTTCGAGGTTGACTTTTGTGAAGACAGGGTTTCCCAACAGCCGCATGTTCAGACCCGCAATAAGTATGAAGCTTTGCTGTTGGGATGCTTTGACATTATCCCGACGGGGCCTTTCGCCAGGCCTTGTAGGCACTGCCAGCAGTGCCACTTGTGTCATAGTGCACAAAACTTCAGATGGCCAGGATGGCCATGTCAGCGAAAGCATGAAACGCCTTCAGTGCTTCTGTTGCAGCTGTTGCGGTGCATGCTCTGGCTGTCTGCCTGCTTTGTCGATCTGATGAGAGGACTGCTTGAACCCAGGGCTCAACCATGTCGCAGAGTAGTGGTGACAGTGCACGGCCGCCTGCCTTGAAGCGTTCTCGGTATAGCCTAGATCTAGAAGATTATGGCGAGCGACCTGAGTCTCCTGAGCACGGTGATGTGCTGCCTGACGTTCCAAAGCCCCGGAATTCAACGAGCAGCAGATTTCCCGCCGAGTCCCTGCCATATGGGCCGAAAGAATATTCAGAGATTTTCGATTGGAACCATGATGTGATTTCTCGATTGCTCGAGAAGTGTGGGCCTTGTCGGCCGCAGGCAACATCGTCTCCACTTTCGGTTGAACTTACGACATCCTTCAGTGGTCTTGGGGCTGCTGAATTTGCTGCTACTGCTGTGCAGTCTGCCATGCATGCTCGAGGCATTCCGGTGGACATTAAGCTGCATAGTCAAACCGAGGTGGACAAGCAGTGCAGGCCTTTCCTGAAGGGCCAACATGTGTTCAGTGATGTTCAAGATCGTGTTGGTGACAAGGTCGTGAAGAGCCTTGCGAGTCTACAAGCACGGTATGTTACATTATTTGAGAATGCCAAGCAGAAACTTGATTCCAAGGACAGTCGTCAGATTCACCAGCTGGTGGAAAAGTATGGGTTGCTGTTTCTGCAGGCAGCTATCAAGTGCATGGATCGAAATCGTGATTCATTCAAGGCTTCTGCTGAGTGCTTGAAATGTGGACACCAGTGCCCATGGGCACCAGTGGTCAATCATGGCCACCGCTTGTGGGTAGAAGTTGCAGGGCATCCCTGCACTCCTTGGTCCAAGCGTGGACGGCAGCTGGGTTTTCTGGATCCAGAAAGTATCAGTGCTCTTGTTTGGGCTTTCTCTTTGAGGTTGGCACCCCCTCCGGATTGCATCGTCAACGAGAATGTGGGCTCCTTCCCAGCTGAGGTTTTCTTTAGCTCCATGTTTCCTGGTTGTAGACTGGAGATGGCCGTGTTCAGCCCGTGCGATTTGGGGATACCGACTCACCGACCCCGCCGCTACTCTTTGGTGTGGCCAAACCCCATGTCGGCAACCTGTGAAGCTGCCGCTTTCGATGTCAACATCCTTGGCGAGGTTTGCTTTCGCCGCCTGCATCTTCATGGATCCGTGTACCTGCAATCGCCCGAGGATGAGGTCATTGCTCTCTTGGATGGCCTCGCCGCGGCGCGAGGTTTGGAGCCACGTGGGCAGCAGGGCAAATCGTACTCTTGCAAGCATGTTCTCGCTACGGGGCACAGACTTCGCATGATGAAGCATCGTGAGAAGCTCGAGCAGGATGAGCACACTGATTTTGATTTCAATGTTGATTGTGCGCAGGACATCGGTTTCACTGGTGCGATGCGTGTGATGCCGACCTTGGTTAAAAACTCCAACATTTACAATCTTCGAGCTGACAGACTCTACACTGTGCAGGAGTTGATGTCAGTCCAAGGGTTTCCGGTGCACCGAAGTGACTCAAGGACGCATCCGTGCATGCCAGATGAGCAGACCATGCAGCACATCATCACCATGGGCAAGAAGTATTCCAAGACCGTCCTTGGAAACACGATGTGCTTGTGCCAAGTCGGGACTGCGCTGGCCATAGTGTTTATGGCTGCGGCACGTGCAAATCGTAGCGAGTGATACTGATGGCAATGGCTACCCTCTGACGAAAAACAGCTGTTTGATGTCAAGCAGGATTGCGGCATGTATCAGTATCAGTGATTGCATCTTGATGTGCACCAATCGGCCAGTTTAACAACACGCCAGATCGTACCAGGAGTGGCAGTGGAGAGTGGAGAGGACGAGGGAGAGAGGGAGAAGAGTGCAGAGCAGGGGAGGGTTAGTGTAGAGCAGAGTGTGAGGGGAGGAGAGTGGAGAGAATGGAGTGTGTGCTGGAGCCGGACGTGCTCAGTGACGATCGGTCTCATGTGGAATCACAACAACCGGTGTCGGGCGTGTAAACTTAAATGTATCTTTACGTCAGGATGCCATCAATCTCCAAAGCTCGTCGCAAGCACACGCTCCATCAGCTGATGATCGCGAGATTTCGCATGTGAAACACGCTGTGTTCACTTCACATCTATACACATGTGGGCTTTCCGAAATCTTATTGTGACAACGTGAGCCCATACCTAGTCTTTAAAACCTGTGTGTGATATGATGAGATATTTTTGACTGGTACAACCCAACACAAAGCGAACTACCCTAAACCCTGAAGCCCCAAGCTGTAGACTTTTTGGCTCAAACGTATTTGGCTCAGTTGGCTCGCACGATTGATGGTCATGATGCAAACCCTGGAGCCTCAAGCTGTGGACTTTTTGGCTCAACGTATTTGGCTCGCACGTTTGGTGCTCATGATGCACACCCTGATACCTGAAACTGTAGACTTTTTGGCTCAAACGTGTTTGACTCGCACGTTTGATGGTCATGATGCTCTGAAATCAAGAGCTCGCTGATTTCGATGCTCATATTCCTTTGGTTTGAAGCGCTGCATACATGGTTCCATGCCTTCGCTATGTAAAAGCGAGCTTGTTCCAATGACAGCTATGCCACCAATGACCTCTAATAGTCCAATGTCGCCTCAGACATGACTCATAGAGGTCGAGGCGGCCGCAAAACGTATTATTGTTTGCTGCTTTCGGGCTCGGTTGTTGGTTGATGCAGCTTTTGTAATGCGGATTGCCACTTTTGCAATGCTTCGTTCATGACCCTGAAGCATGCCGCTGCAGTCAGTGCGCATTGGTGACGGAGCATGGTTTCACGGCGTCTTTTCATTGCATACCTTCAAGAAGCAGTGCATCTAGCCCAATCCACGAAATCGGGCATGCCAGGGGTGCAAACAGCCCCGCGGGCGTGACCCCATGAATGTTAATAGTCTGGGTGGCCCGGAGGAAGCGGAGGATGCTGAGCTTGGGTCGGGGATCGGATCCTGCGATCCGCGGGGCTGGCTGTCCAGCCAGCGGCGAAACTCATCCAAGTCAGTCTCCCTCTCGACTGACTCATCGTCCTCGCCCTCATTCTCATCCCCAGTCGAACCCTCCATACTGGCTGAGCTGCGAGCTCGTAGCAAAGCTTCCCGTGCAGCCTGTGCAATGTTGGCCTGCCTCATAGCTCCAGCCATGTACATGTCGATGTGCTCCTGCATGCATGTATATACAAACTTATATGGTATCATACCGATTTTGCACTCAAACTACACTGTCGGATACATCACATCATACATTGAAAGTTTGCAGCCTCTGCACGATGGGTCGAAACCATATAAACTTTTGAAAAGCTTCCGCAACTCAGCTAAACAATCACTCACATAAACCGGTTCCTGCAGGTCCGGCCGGATGATCAACAGCAGCTTGTGAAATCGCGTGTCCTGCACAATACAGAGTTGGCTCCATGTTAAGGCCTCACACTCTTACATTCAAAAAATATATGTACACTATGCTACATTTACATCACAAAAAGAATGCACACACAAGTATCCTTCGTCACCTCTTTCTTGTTTGCCTTTCTCTTGATAAAAGACAACATCTTCTTGATCTCACCAGCCGTTCTGTAGCAAACCTTCTCCGAAACCTTAACATGCACCTGCCGAAAGAACATCTCGATCTCCTCCTGTAATGGGGTGATGTACGGAAGCTTCAGGTCGTGGTCACGCATGCGCTCCAAGCAAGGAGTCAACACATCAGTATTAGCAACAGCATTCACACGGTTGCTATCGCACAACTGAGCACCAGGAGGCAGCCGCATAATCAGGCCCGTATCACGAGCAGTCTTGCGCACGCTTGCAATTCCCTCCCACACACTTGCAAGCCCGCTCACATCCATCGCTTGCCCTTCACCTTTCATTGCTGCTGCCATATACCGATCAGATCGGTACACACACACAGTGAACCGAAAGCCCTTGAACAAAAGCTGCAGTTTTGCATCATGTTCATTGTCAGAACACTCATGCTCGCATGGATAGCCCTGGTGCAGGCAACACGAATGGATCTATACAGCTGCTGGCGAGATAAAAGAAGCTGAGCTTCGAGCTGATCTGCAGATGTAGTCCGACAGGGGCACACCCACATCAGCATGCAAAGACTTCTAAAGTCTTCCTTGATTAAGTGGCCTACGAAGACACAATCCTAATGTATCCATCGAGTCTGTATGGCAAACCCTGCTTGTGTCTGACAGCCTTCCCACAGGCTTTGATGTACACAAGTCCAGACTACCTTCTGAAGTAAGCTGCCTTCAACCCCCTTGCATGTAGAGATGGCCACACTCAATGCCAAGCAAGGCTGGAATTTCAAGGGTATTCAGGATTTCCGGGTTTTTTTAGAATTGCCAGGAATGATTTCTTCATGGGGTGTCTTACCGGGTTATAGTTTTCTAACCCACTTAAAAGAAGGCAAAGGACTTAGCAGGTTGAGTGCTCGCCGCAAGTTGTACTAAGACAGCTGTCTGTTTCTGAGTAAGGCTGTGTATGGGTTTATTCGACAGACTTGGGGATTTGTGTGCTTTGGGCTTATTGGAAAGACTTGGGGATTTGTGTGCTTTGGGTATATAGGAAAGACTTCGGGGTTGCTTGTTCATGTTTTCTAGTTAGCTAGCTGTCCATCGTACATTGATTCACGGGCCGTGGACTTCCTTTCCTGGATCGGATTGTCAGCTCTGTTAGTTGTGAAAAGTAGGTGAATGAGTAAGCAAATAGATGCATATATGAACAGATGAATATACATGCGTGATGATGTTTCATTTGGGGTTGCCTTGGCTTTGCTTTGTAAGCTTCTTGTTGCTATGCCTTTGGAAAGGGGTCCTGCGGGATTCGCTTCGTTAATGCGTGGCCCAGTATCGCCTGCTGCACTGGAACTTCGTGGAAGGGCAGGGGACTTAGTAAGTAGGTTATAAGTAGAGTTATAAGTACCCTAAATGGAGTTACCCCAATTATAACCCTACTTATAACCTTATAACCTACTTACTAAGCCCCCGGCCCTTCCAAGTAGACCCTAAACCCTAAACCCCATAGACCCCTTTAAGGAACCCTATAGATCTCTTTCAGGAGCCCTTTAAGAGCCCTTACTAAGTCCCCTGCCCTTCCAAGTTTGGAATTCGTTTGTCTTTTGTTTTGCCGAGCGCTTAGCACCAGTTTCGGTGGCTCGGGGCCTGGGGGTCGGCATGCACCCAGAGACTCAAACATCCCTGAATTAAGGAATCTTCCGTACATTATAGTAGGATCCCTACCTAATATGACTTATGGAATATATTCCTTAATTAAGGGATATTGGAGTTTCTGGGCATGTTGTTACGTTTCACCTTTTGTTGTCGCCGCTAAGAGCTTGCACCTCTGCTATGCTTCTTGGCGCATGCCTTGCCCGACGTCACGGTTATGCGCTTTCGCTTGCTTTTGCTTGCACGCCCAGGTTGACGGATTTTTGGGTTCATGGCCTTATAACCCTTATGCCTCAGTGGTTTATAACCGTTATAATTCTTACAACCCTTATAATCCTTATGGTCCTTTACAGCTTGTGTATTCTTGACAATCTCGATAACTCTTACCACCCTTATAGGATGCGATGCTGGTGAGAGTTGCTGGCGAGAGGGTCGGGCGATGTTCCTGCTCTTTGGATTGTGTTTGTGGTTGTGCGTGTGCTTGTGCATTCTGGTTCTTCCACAAGACGGTTAATCCAGAAAGGGACACTAGGATGCCCGGTAGTACCCTTATTCCCTTTTTGTAGTCCCAGGTTCCTTATCAAGTTACCCAAGACCAAAAAGAGAGGCCTTTTTCTTCTTAGGTTACTGGTATCCTAGGACAACGACCAGGAGCTCTTTGATTTCCTGGCTGCCCGGGAGGAGTCTCCGTCTAAGCTCATGAGGTGCCAAACTTTAACCTTCGACCCTGGAGCCGTCAGGCCTTACACGCAAACCTTACAGCAGATCCCATGCTTCAATCTCCCAGCCCTGTCGTGAGAACCTAGAACCGGGATTCGTTCAACGAATGAGATCCGCACAATTGGCACACCACGCTCTGGCGCCCACACCTCGCACAGTATCTTGAGAGCAGCACTCGACGCATCAGAAGTAAAACCGGAACGATTAGTCTGGCCAAGCTGCCGCCAGAAGAGCGTCCAACTGTGTCGCCTCTAAGGGATTTCACTTTTCCCGTCCGTTTTTATCTCTCTTCCCTCCTCTCTTCCGCTGGGCTGCTCAAAGGGTCACAGCTCCAAAGAGTTAGCCGTTCTATGAGCCCAAACCCTGAACTCCCATATAGAGCCCCCTTATAGAATCTTCGTAGAAACCCCTCATGCTTCTAACTAGTAAGCCTACTTTTAGTACCTCCAAACCCTAAATCCAATCCTTAACCCCGCGCCCCAAACCCTAAACCTTGGACCCTAAACCCTAAACCCTAAACCCTAAACTCCTAAACCCTAACCCCTAAACCCCTAAACCCCTAAACCCCGAAACCCCGAAACCCTGAACCGAGGAAACGGGCCGCACCGCTTTGCACGCAGCAGCTTCAGATGGCCGGGCCGAGGTTGTTCGCATTCTGCTTCAGGCATCCTGGAGACTCAGGGTTTTGCTTGGAGGGGCTTTGGGTTCATTATTGTAGGGTTAAAGGTGTAGGGTTGAGGGGTTTAGGGTTTAGGGTTTTGCTTGGAGAGGCTTTGGGTTCACTATTGTAGGCTTAAAGGTGTAGGGTTTAGGGGTTTAGGGTTTAGGGTTCATTATCGTTCTTGGAGGGGCTTTGGGTTCATTATTGTAGGGTTAGGGGTTTACGTTTTAGGATGGTTTAGGGGCTTATAGGGTTTGGGGTTATACTCCCGAAGCTTGAGACAAGCTGCAGGGCTGAGGGTGTACAGCGGGTGTCGGGCAAGGTTTCGAGGTGAAGATTTACTTGGAGGGGAAGGAGACTTAGTAAGTAGGCTATAGGGTACTTATAACTCTAGCTACTTATAACCTACTTACTAAGTCCTCTGCCCTTCCAAGTGGGTCCAGAGGCTAGGGCGGCTTGGGTTTAGGTTTCAGGGGTTTGGTATAGGAGTTTGGGGTGTAGGGTGTAGGGGTGTGCTGTACGGGCTTGGGGGATTAAAGGGTTTTTAGGGTCCATGTACCCCTACAGTGTATCTACTTGCGCCCCAGACTACATTCAGGCCAAAGTACAGGCTACATGAGTACATGGCCGCTAAGGCCTTAGCATAAGTAGAATGCGTCGGCATATTCGCAAAAAATCATTCTGGGGCTTTCCCTGTTTCCTACGTTCCTTTGATATAGACAATGTGCCGAACCGGCCAGGGGGACGTAGCTTTAGGAGTTAAGGCGCTGAGGCGGCTTCGGAGGCTAAGGGCACTGATCTAGAGTCGGGTCTCATTCTTGCAGTGGCTGGTGAAACCTCGTTGTGCAAGCATGTAAATCACACCTCTGCATACTTGTTGCCAGCAAGCCGTCTAATCGCGGAGCGTTTCCTCTCGCTCACAGGGCTAGCCCTTCACATCAGAAAGGTTTCCGGGGACTGCTGAAACCCGGTACACTGTCGAAGGGTTTGGGGTGTAGGTGGGAAGGCACTATAATTAGCGCTCCGAAGGACCCAACAATTAGCAGTTTGGGCTTAGGATAGCAGTTTTGTGAGCTGCCCTTTGAAAATTTTGGACGGTAAAGGACTGTTCGGCACTTGGACCCTTACGGTTATTCCCGCAAACGAACATCCTGAACCAAGAGCCCAAAACCCTAATTAATAGACAAGTCGGAATATTAAGCATTTGTATCACTTTTCTGACGATGCTACAAACTTACCCCGAAATCCTTTTCATCAACCCTAAACCTTCCCCTAAACCCTATACACCAAAACCCTATCTGTTGAAGCGCCCTTATGAGGCGCGAGCGGACGTGGACAGGATCAACGATCGTGGAGGGACTCCCTTGCTGAGACTTGGCCTAGGGTTTAGGGTCTAGGGGTTTAGGATCTAGGGGTTGCGTTGGTGTCTAGGGGTTCAGGGTGGTTCCTAGACGATGCCAGAAAGTTTCTGATACATTTAGCTTTGTTTCAGGGGCAGAATATTGCTGGGTTTCATTGTGCCCATATCGTGCTTCGTTGAAATGCTCTGTTCTGTGCGGATTGTGCCATGAGTGAGCGGCGGCAACGCTGGGATAACCATTTCTCGGGTACATAAATTTGATACAAACTCTCAAGCTTTCTTCAGTGACCCACTCGACCTACAGCAGTTGAATCACGGGGTAGATCGGGACATTACAGTAATTTAACTTCAGCATTCCTCATGGTACTTGTTGAAGCCGAGCCTGCAAGATGAAAACCGAGCTCGCAAATCCCCAGGCTACTTAGTTCTCCAATACCACACTTTTAAACTTTTGGGGTTCTTATAGTTTAGTAAAGTAGTAATCTGAAAGTTTAACCTTTTATTTCTGTGGCTTATTGGGGGAGTAAGGCTACGAATCAGGAACCCTCCAAGCCAAGGCCTGGATTGGGGTCGAACTGCTATAGATCTTAGAAGCTGCCCCCACTGTAATAGTGACTATAAGGATTATAGTAGGGTCCCATTATATTCCTATTATACCACTCTTACAGGGTGGGGGCAGCTTCTAACATAGATCCCAGCAGTGCCCTTAGGAGTCATACTGCCAGGCTCATGGCACAAGATCATGCTAGACAAGACAGGGCTTCCGGCTATCAGCGGGTTCGGGGTTCCAAGACCCTCAAGTGCCCTTGAATGGAGAGCGCTTATGGTCCTTAATTAGAATAGTGCGTATTCAGGACATATTAGAGGGCAGCTGGGAGTCGGGGTTGGCCTTTGTGTTTGTTCTTTTTGCTTTTGCTTGTAAGGTTTAAGGTCTCGGTTGACCATAGGTCAGGTCTCCGTTGGAAT